AAAAGTTTTTTGGTTTTTCACCTCTTCCGTCCTATATTTCCTTTGTTCCTTCTGGGCTAATCTCCCTTTAGCCTGAAGAGCTTCCTTTAATATTTCTTGGAGTATAGGTCTACTCAGAAACCCTATGATTGAGTCACTGTGAGTTGCAATTGACTCGGTGGCAGTGGATTGGGTATACTGGTGATGAAGTCTTCCAAGTTAAAAAATACATGTACTGTATTAGTATATGAAAACATATTTATTTTGCTTTCATATTTGAAGTATAATTTTGGCTATATGCAATTTTTTTGTTAAAAGATACATATGTATATGTGTTTTTAATGTTCTTAACTCTTTCCCATATCTTAGAATTTTTATTATTCCTTCTTTCTCACTTGACTATATTTTTGAGTATGTATTTCCCCTTGAAGGGTCCCTGACGGTGTAGTGCGCTACACATTGATTGGGATGGTAGCTGCAAGGTCAGCAACTTCAAACCACCAGCTGCTTCTTGGAAGAAAAATGCGGCCTTCTTCTCCCATAAGGATTTTCATCCCTGAAAACCAAAGATAGCTCTCCTCTGTCCTGTAAGGTTGCAGTGAGTAAGAAGTAACTCCACTGGCAGTGATCTTTTGTGTTTTTTTTGGAACTTCCCATTGATATCTAGTACCTTACCTCTTCTTATTCAGTAGTTACACACTGGGAAAGCCCAGTGAACTGTCACAAAGGCCCATTATGATTTTTATGATGTTCGGTCCAGAAGTCCTATCTACAGTTGCCATCAGGTCTTTACTTGTGAATATGAAATAAGGCATCAGGTTAGAAATAGCAAATGAGAAGGGGCCGGTTACAGTGCAAAATGAGATATTTGTCGATGGTAGAAACATCTCTGGAACGCAGAAGTAAATGCACAGTACAGCAGACGTAAATAGCCTCTAATCGCTCTCTCATCAGAGGCACTATTAAATAGTGCAATAAAAATAAATAAATAGTGCAATAATACTGGTAGCTGGGGCCATTGGGTATTCAAGAAGAACTGTTTAGGGTTGATTATGAGAATTTAAGAAAGCAGTGTTTCAGCAAACTTGTCATTGCATTTTGTAAATGATTTGTTTCTGCTTTTTTGGAAAAGAATTTCTTCGGACCACCTTAATTCTCTGTATGCTAGATAAACATGATGCCACCAGAGCTTCTATCAGAACTTCAACGAAGCTATTTTGTCAGCAAGTCTTTTTCAATGTATTTTAAGTTCCTTGCTTTGGGTGAAATAGTTTCTTGCCTTCGTTGCAGATCTCTTGTCTCGTCCTGTTATGCAAAATGCTCAGTCTCCCAAGCCCAGCCCGGTAGTGTCCACTGTTCTGTCAGGAACCTCAGCAACAAGAACACCTCCTGCTGCAAATCACCCAGTTAGGCCTGTGGCCTCTGCCACACAGCCGTCAGAGCTACTGCAACACAAAGGTATTTGAAAAATGTTTTGTACTGTGTATTCAAATAACGAAGTTTAAAAGTTCAAGTGTATAATGGTAGTCCATAGAAAACAAGAAAAAAGTCATTTACAACCTCAATCAAACATGACTTTCCTTTTTCATACATTGACTTCCAGTTTCTGTTTATGACCGTGTATTCTACAGAATCCCAGTCATTGTTTGTTTACATGTGATTTGTACCTTTTCCATTTGTTAAGCTTCTTATCAGTTTTTCATATAACTGCCTGGTCTTTTGGTCATTTCATAGCAAATAATCCATCATGCTGATGGATTATAATTCCCTAATCTCTACCTCTCTATCACAGGGGATTTTGTTCTGTTTTGTACAGCTTGTTTTACAATAAAGTAGTCAAGATTTCCTTAGTTAATAAATTTCTATATTCTAATTGATAACTCCTGCGTTGATCATTGCTAGTAACGGAAAGTAATCTTTGACCCTGTTTGGGGGATGGAATGTAAATGGTAGTATTGACAACCTGTGATTGGAGTGTTTAATGATGCTCATGTGTGGAACACCTGATGGGTCACTAAGGGACACTGTTCGGAACCTGAGGACCCACGTTGCCTTTTTTGAGTAGAGTTATTTGTAAGGCCAGCATCCCAAAGCCCTTGATGTTTCAGTTTTATATACTGTACTTTTTTTCCAAAAAAAAAAAAAATCTTCCACTAGAGGACTGAAGTTTAAGGCCAAGTTTCTGTTAAATACTCTTTTTTCTTTTACTATAATTTAAAAAACCTTACTGTGATTAGGATTACTGAATTGTAAATTTTTGTGAACTTCCTGAAGCCCCTCTTGTATTCCATAAATTGAGATGTGTGAGGTGCCACGTACAAAGGTGATGTATATTACCACTCTTAACTGTACCCAGTGAAGTGATACTTAGTATCATCTTTGTGAAAAAAAATAAGCCTTCTTGTAACACTTGCAAAGCTTACATTTACCTTTTTGAAGTCATACCTGATCTAGAATGTAATAATATGTACTTGAGCTAGAACTAATTATTTATTTTAATAATTTATATTTATTTATTTTTATCATGAATTTGGTGGGGATTTATATATGAGATAATCACTTTTGCATTCAACAACTTAGCACCTTAGCAACCCTCCTCATGACTTGCTGCATTCCACCCCCATTTTTGCCTCTCTCTTTTTTTTAAATCGTTTTATTATGGGCTCATACAACTCTTACCACAATCCATACATCAATTGTGTAAAGCACATTTGTACATTCATTGCCTTCATCATTCTCAAAGCATTTGCTCTCCACTTAAGCCCCTGGCATCAGCTCCTCATTTTTCCCCTCCTTCCCCACTCCCCCTCCCTCATGAACTCTTGAAAAGTTGTAAATTATTATTTTGTCATATCTTGCACTGTCTGACATCTCCCTTCACCCACTTTTCTGTTGTCTATCCCCCAGGGAGGAGGTTATATGTAGATCCTTGTAATCTGTTTGCCCTTTCCACCCCACCCTCCCTCCACCCTCCTGGTATTGCCACTCTCACCACTG